GACAAGACCGAGAGATCCGATGCCAGTACTCGATTCAATTACGGCGGTAATGCGGGCGGCGGTGGTGGTGTTCCAGCTATCCCGAAGCTTCGGAGGCCATCTCAACCCAGCTCCGAGTTTCTGTACTTGGGAACTATGGTGAATTCTCGTGGAGGCATTGAACCGCACAATCAGCAAAACTCTCCCAGCACCACCGCCACCACCACTAGTGCCGCAAATTCGAGAAAAATGGAGTCGCCGGAGCTGCAACCCCTGCCGCCGCTTCGCGGGCGGAACTTGAGACAAAATTATGAGAATGCTGAGCCCGGTTCTGGTAGGGACGAAGACGATGAAGAGGAATTTTACTCTCCCGGAGGATCGTTGGGCGGTAGAGAGAGCTCAATCGGAACTGGATCCTTTTCCGTTTCCAGGAGGGCTTTCGCCGCCATAGAGGCTGAGAATTCCGGTGGCTCCAACTACTCATCTTCATCTTCCTCTTCCTCATCTTCGAGTTCGGGTTCGGGCTCACCCAGGAGGTCTGTATCTTTGAGCACTTCGCCGCCGGGGAGTTCGAGCCCAAAAAGCTCGAGGCCCAAGTCGCCTGAATTGGCTGCCGTTGATACTACCGCCTTTTTACCTCCTCTTCAACCCCCGCTCTCTGTGGGACAATCGGCGAGTGTGAGAAAATCTCAGTCACCGTCTCCTGCCTGTTCATCTTCTCCAGAGAGAGGTTCAAGAAAAAGTATAGACTCTTCTCCAAGATCTTCTCACGTCTGGGATCAGAATATAGATTCTCCAGTTAGAATCAACAGTCTAAGTCTAAATTCTCCTGCGAGAATCAGCAGCCCAGTAGTGGATTCTCCGGTGAGAATCAGCAGTTCAGCAGTGGAGTCTACGATGAGAAATGATAGCCCTGTTATGGAATCTCCGCCAAGAATCAACAGCCCTGTTATGGAGTCTCCTCCGGTGAGAATAAGCAGTTCAGGATTGAGGTCTCCAGCAAGAAGTTGCAGCCCAGTGGTAGAGTTTCCAGCAAGAATCAGCAGTCCTGAGATTGATTATCCAGCAAGAATAAGCATTTCAGCAGTGGAGTCTCAGGTGAGAATAAGCAGCCCAATAATGGAGTCTTCAGAGAGAGCCAGTAGCCCTGTAATGGAATCTCCGCCAAGAAGAATGAACAGCCCAATAATGGAGTATCCGGAGAGAGCTGGTAACTCTCTTATGGAATCTCCACCAAGAATAATCAACAGCTCAATAATGGAGTCTCCGGAGAGAGCTGGTAACTCTCTTATGGAATCTCCACCAAGAATAATCAACAGCTCAATAATGGAGTCTCCGGAGAGAGCCAGTAGCCCTGTAATGGAATCTCTGCCGAGAAGAATGAACAGCCCAATAATGGAGTCTCCGGAGAGAGCTGGTAGCTCTCTTATGGAATCTCCACCAAGAATAATCAACAGCTCAATAATGGAGTCTCCGGAGAGAGCTAGTAGCCCTCTTATCGATTCTCCGCCAAGAAGAATGAGCAGCCCAATAATGGAGTCTCCGGAGAGAGCCAGTAGCCCTCTTATGGAATCTCCGCCAAGAAGAATCAACAGTCCAATAATGGAGTCTCTGGAGAGTGCCTGTAGCCCTCTTATGGAATCTCCTCCAAGAAGAATGAGCAGCCCAATAATGGAGTCTCCGGAGAGCCCCAGTAGCCCTCTTATGGAATCTCCTCCAAGAAGAATGAGCAGCCCAATAATGGAGTCTCCGGAGAGAGCCAGTAGCCCTGTTATGGAATCTCCACCTAGAAAAATGAACAGCCCAATGCTGGGCTCTCCGGAGAGAGCCAGTAGCCCTCTTGTGGAATCTCTGCCAAGAAGAATCAACAGCCCAATAATGGAGTCTCTGGAGAGCCCCAGTAGCCCTTTTATGGAATCTCCACCAAGAATCAACAGCCCTGGTGAGGAGTCTCCTGTGAGAATCAGTGATCAAGGCATGGAGTCTCCTCTGAGAATCAGCAGCCCTGTTATTGGCTCACCTGCAAGAATAAGCAGTCTAGAAGTGGAGTCCCCGACGAGGATAAGCAGCAGTGTTATTGATTCTCTTCCAATAATCAACAGTCCAGTAGTAGAGTTTCCAGCAAGAATCAGTAGCCCTATAGTGGAATCTCCACCGAGAATCAACAACCCTAGTATGGAGTCTCCTGTGAGAATCAGCAGCCCTGGTATGCAGTCTCCTGCAAGAACCAGTAGCCCTGTTATGGAACCTCTGGTGACTATCAGCTATCCTGTAAAGGATAATGTCCTAATTTTGGCTTCACCTAGTATTGAGTGTTCCATGGACAACCCCAGTTCTAGTATGGAGTCGCCCGTGTTAACCAGCCCTCTACATCAAAATCTCCCAACTTTGGTTCCACCACAGCCTCCAGTACCACACATTAGTATTCCATCTAGGCCACCTCCTCCTCCTCCACCACCTCCCCCAAGTAAACACTGGGAGAGTCCAAGAACTCCCAACACTCGACCTCAAAAACTAGTATCTGAACCTCCTGTCTTGGTGAATCCTTTAAGGCCCATTGCAATTGAGAGTCCAACATTGATATCTCCAATTCAGTTGCCTTCTCATTTAGAGCCTGCCGAGATGAATTCAGATATTGCTGAAAGTTGTTCAAGTGAGAATGTTGAGAAAAATGAAGAGACGCCGAAACCAAAACTGAAGCCATTGCACTGGGATAAAGTGAGAGCAAGTTCTGATCGTGAAATGGTGTGGGATCAATTGAAGTCGAGCTCATTTAAGTATGAAACTTGAAACTCTTGCAGTCTTGCTACTAATTTTTCTAGTACTTTGTGGATTTTTTTTGGTGAAAAAAATATGTTATATTGAGTTTGATCATTTGCAGATTGAATGAAGAGATGATTGAGACATTATTTGTTGTAAATACTCCAAATATGAATCCAAAAGAATCAGTCCAGCGCCCAACTCTTCCCACACTGAGCCAAGATAATAGAGTGCTTGATCCCAAGAAATCACAGAACATTGCAATTTCGCTTAGGGCCCTAAATGTCACCACTGAGGAAGTTTGTGATGCTCTTTTAGAAGGTATGTAACTTCGGTTCCTGTATTTCAAATGGTAGCCAATAGGTACTGATTATGAGGGCCAACTTTGGCAGCAGGAGATTTAGAAATGCCTCAAATTCTCAGTTGTCAACTTGTGCAATAATTTATTCTCTTCCAGTTAGCATCATAAGTAAATGAAGAATGCACTTGAACCGTAATAAGCGTTTATGATAACATCCTTTTTTTATTTCAGCACTAGTTTACCTCTCTCCCAAGTTTTCAGATGAAATACAGTGCTTGATGTTTAGTTCTAGATGATGTGATGCTGACCTCTCTTTTTTACCAAGGGCAAGTATATTGGAAGAAAATAGGCACTTAGGCAGAAACCTCCAATCACTGTGCTGCTCTTTGATGCATAGTACAGCATTGATGAAATTTGCTACATTTCATGCCCAAAGATATTTGCCTTTGTCCTCACATGTCTGGAAAACCTATTCCAGATGAGTTTTTGAGTGTGTATAAAGTTGATCTAACTTTGGGACTCATTCATGGACAATTTATGAAATTTATTTAGGAAATGCTGATACCCTTGGTACTGAGCTTCTTGAGAGTTTGATGAAGATGGCTCCAACCAAAGAAGAAGAGCGCAAGCTTAAAGAGTATACAGATAATTCACCATTCAAGCTTGGACCAGCAGAGAAATTTCTCAAGGCAGTGCTTGATGTACCTTTTGCATTCAAAAGAGTAGATGCAATGCTCTATATATCCAATTTTGAATCTGAGGTCGACTACCTCAAAAAGTCATTCGAAACACTCGAGGTACTTATTGGACTAGTTATCAGCTTCTTACTCTTGTAGATGTATCCTTGCTGGAATCTGATTCTTGCTTGCTAATTGTTAGGCTGCATGCGAAGAATTGAGAAGTAGCAGGATGTTCTTAAAGCTCCTGGAGGCTGTTCTGAAGACTGGAAACCGCATGAATGTTGGGACGAATCGAGGAGATGCACATGCATTCAAACTTGATACTCTCCTCAAGCTAGTCGATATCAAGGGTGCTGATGGAAGAACAACTCTCTTGCATTTTGTTGTTCAGGAGATAATAAGAAGTGAAGGTGCTCGTCTTTCTAGTGCAAACCAATACGAGACGTCAATTGTTGCTGATGATGCAAAGTGCCGGAAGCTTGGTCTGCAGGTTGTTTCCAGCCTCAGTTCAGAGCTAACAAATGTGAAGAAAGCTGCTGCCATGGATTCAGAAGTCCTCCATAGTGATGTCTTAAAGCTCTCTAAAGGGATCCTTAACATTAACGAAGGGATGGTATTGGATGAAAGCTACAGCCAAAAGTTTTCTGAATCAATGAACAGGTTCACAAAAATGGCGGAGGAAGAGATTATAAAACTCCAAGCCTTAGAAAGCGTAGCCATGTCTCTCGTTAAGGAGATAACTGAATACTTCCATGGGAATTCAGCCAAAGAAGAGGCTCACCCATTCAGAATTTTCATGGTGGTGAGGGACTTCCTAATGATTCTTGAGCGCGTGTGTAAAGAAGTTGGAATGATAAATGAGCGAACAATAGTCAGTTCTGCTCACAGGTTCCCAGTTCCTGTAAATCCCATGCAGTTCCCAGTTCCAGTAAACCCCATGCTGCAGCCAGTGGCCAGTCTATTCCCTGGGAGACACCAATCCAGTTCCTCCGGTGATGAGAGCTCTTAGCGGGTGAATCAGCCTATTTTTCCATCCAGGCAAAGACGAACATAAAAGCTAGGCTAACTAGGAGCTCATCTGAGATTATGGCTACCGATTTTATAGGTATGTGTAATCTTTTTTGTTTCTGTATCTGTATTTATAAGCATATAATGTAAAACATTTTGGTGTTTGTTAGAGATGTATACATAGCTGATTTTGGAGAACTTTTATGTCCTGTCAATATGTAAATTATTGCCATCTTTTTTATTTGTAGTGAAAATGGACAAATTTGGTACCACTGATTGAGACTTTAAAGTTGCAATAATAGGATTAATAGCTAGGTAAATGGTAACCATAGTGACCTGCCACTCAGTTTTCAGATGCTGAACTTCTAGGAAATTGTTGTACTCATTCTAATAAACTTTAAATAACAGTGCAAAGTTGATAGTGCCATTGATGTTACCATTTGGGAAGAAAACTTTATGACTTTTGTGCCATTGATGTTACCATTTGGGAAGAAAACTTTATGACTTTTGTCAAAATGATAATAATTTAAACTTAGTGGGCATGGAGGCTAAAGACCCAGTGAGGCATGTTGTTGGGCTTTGTGATCAAAGGTTGCAGCAGGTGCTGGGGGTTAGGTTGGCCGTTCGATTCGAGACGTAGTAGTTAAAGAATTGTATAGTGCAGCGTTGAAATCCATCAACACTCTAAGAATAACACTAATCTTAACAGGAGCATAATATTTTGAATTTTGAACTAAAGGAGTGAAAAGAAAAAAAAAAAAAATTATATCTAGTTAGGCAAGCTTGGCAATCTAATTGTGTTGTGCATGTGCATCTGCTTGTATGATAACTAAGTTTCAAGAAGAATATACATCACATGAGATGTTCAGAAAATGCAGAATTATGAGCTGAAGGTTCAAGGAATCGTTCAACACATGCATAGACAACAAATATAATATAGTTGACAATTGTCAGCCTTGGACCCTCAACTTATTATTTTTCATTTGTTTTGTCCTGTCAACATAATTCTCATACCCATTATTCACATTTCAGATCACAGAAACAGACACAAATCACCATACTAAAATCAATAGATTCTGCTTGTTAGGATCAAATGCTTACCACTTGTATCAAAACAACAATATTATTGATGAGATTGATACCATTTGTTAGGATCAAGTGCTTACTATTTACGCCAAAAGCTATAGCTAGTAGCAAAGGCGCAACTTTATTTTCTTATAGACCGCTACACATTTTCGAGACATTGGGTGCTAGACTTGGCCTTTATCCTTTACCGGCCTCTGCCCAATAATCCCTTAGCCGGGTGCTAGACATGGCTTTTACCACCTCCGCCCAACAAATATAAAACTATAAAAGCGATTTGGAAATAGAACTATAGAATGCTTGAAAGTATTTGCTTCACAAATCTTATGCCTAGAGAATAGTTAGAATGTCACTGCTCATTCCCCAGAATTTAAAAATGGCAGAATTGACAGAGAATCAGGTTGCAAAGAGAATACAGTAAAAGCAAATATCCTCTTTGATGTCCAGAGGTATTTACCAGCATCCTCCCTGGCTCCCTCTGGCTTATAAATAGATATATATATATTGTATGATCTATAACAAGTTGAATTGGTAATCCAACTTTCCTGATTTCATATAGATGTTACTTGTTCGCCTGCAACAAATCTGCATCCATGCGTTCAATGATGGTCCGTGCTTCCTCTTCTGTGGCTGGAACCACCTTCCGAATCATAAATTGATTATTTTGAGCCTTAGCCTCTGGGCGGACAGTGAATGTGAAGTAGAACTTATTGGAAACCTGCATTCAACACTCGCTTCTCTTAGGTGGCATGTTATGCACAAGGTTGCAGAAGGTGCTAGGCGCTAGTCGGGTAGCCGAGGGGCGCCTAGCGCGTAGGGCACCACCTAGGTGGCCGAGTAAAATAATAATAATAATAAGGTATAGCCACTCTAAACCCAAAAAAAAAAAAAAACACTCGCCCGAGTTATGCACCGACTAGGCCAAGTTGGGCGCCTAGTTGGCCAAGTCAGGCGCCTAGTCGGTCAGCTGAGTAAAAGGCGCCTAGGGGTGAAATCCCCTCAGTCTAGGGGCGCCTAAGCCGATTTTTACAACACTGGTTCTGCAAAAGTTTGTTCATTTTCGGTACAAGGGGATTTTTTTTATTTTATTTCTAGAACGTAGAGTGTACCTCACTGGATCTCAGTTCTGGCCTTGTGACATGAGCAACAACTTCGATATTAATCAGTGGCTGATCTGTGTGCTCGTATTCAGTGTACAAAACACATGATTTGAAACGCAAGAAGTCTCCAACATCTACCTGTAAGGCAGGAAAGGAAAGCTGATGTTTTTAACACAAACATGAATGGCATTAAATAGAAATACAAATGGCAAATTTATAGTAAATTAAATGAAGAGGAAAAGAACAAACTTTTTAGTGCACTCACAGGTCTTAGGAAATCAACATGGTCAACTTCCATAAAGGATGGCATCATGCCAGCAAAAGCATAGGCCGTTGAAAACGCTAATTCAAATGCCCTGTGCATCAGAAATCCTCCAAAGATCCGACCATGAATGTTTCTTTGCTGGGGCTGGCAAATCAAAGAATTCTCGAGTCTTGTATCTCTCAGAAGAATGCTGTTCCTGTCTGCCAATGCCGGCATGTGACAGAAAATTCGACCTTCGGCTAATAGTTCTTCAAGTCTGTTAACTCCCCCATTCTCAATCTCCCTCTTGTCACGCCCTCTCTTGCTTTTCCTCACTTTATTTCTTGCCTCTGCTGCTTCGTAGAGATGTTTTTCTTCTTCTGTCTCGGGAGACAAGCGATTCACGGGAGCGGCGTTCTTCGTCTTGTAGTCCCGTGCAACAAAAATGAAATTCGCTGTCAGTGCCGGTTCAGAAAGATCGGTGCTCCCTACAAGGATCAGTGCTTCATCGTTTAGTTCCATTTTCCAGTTTTCTAATTTTCATTCTCCAGTTTTCCAGTTTCCCATTTCTCCATTTCGAGAAGTCTGATTCTCACTTCTCCAAAAACAATGAAAAAGTGAAGAATGGAGATAGGTTAGGAAATTGGAGAAGTGTGTTTAATAAACAAGTTTTCCATTCCTCCAATTTCCTATTTTTCCAGAAAATCCTCCAATTTTCAACTTTGGTAAACAACCCAATATTTCTCAATGGTACTAAAAACTCACCACACAATCTCCTAGCATGTTACATGTTAAGATTCTAAAACATAAGTGTTATAAACTAAGATAGGACAAGGGTCACTCAATTGGGCTAAAGATCCTTATAAACCCCCTCTGGACGTAAGCTTAGGCCACCAATACCCATAACCGGGTGAACCAAAGTAGACCGAACAGGCTCTAATACCATGTTATAAACTAAGATTGGGCTATAATGCACCTGGACCAAACCACACTAAAAGATTGAATCCAACCAACTAACTAGTCTAACTCATGGCCTTATAAACTCATATGTTCTCTCTTATTTTATCAAAGTGGGACTCTTAATAATAAGTAACAAAAACTGTCTCAATAATTACCTCAAAAAGATATAAGCCTAGCAGCTTATAGCGGTAGAAAAATCTATAGATGAATTCGGTTCAGGAAAAGTACCATTGCTTGGCTGAATAACATCTAGTTGAATTTCGATAGAAGAACGGCCAACCCAGATAACAGCACCCACCATTTTCAGATCAATATCGACACTAATCGGCTTCTTAAGCACCATCTTATCAACAGAAGCGGTCACCAAATACAGGGGTCTGGTCGTGCTATCTTCATCCGAACAATGCTGATTCACAACAAAACATACAATAGATGATGAGTTCAAGCCCATGAAAGTGGGAACTTATCCAAGAATCCATGATTCCCCGTAAAGTAAAATTACGTCTTCTACTTCAATAGAGTAAGTATGAGCTCAGGCTAGGAAGTAAACTACAGACTAAGTACTTGAGGAATTATCTTCCACTTATAGCACCATCAAATACAGACATTTCCTTGGTCCCTAATAAAACCAGAGCCATCTGCAAGCAAGAGCATTAGGCCACACTGAAAACCGAGAGACAGAAGAAGAATGTTTATAGTCTTTTTGTGCTATAAATCAATTCTCTGACCTACACTTAAAAAAGTTGTGTTAGGATCAAGCGCTTACCACTACGTCAAAAGCTATAACTAGTAGCGTAAGCGCAACTTTATTTCCTTATAGACCATCAGGTCCTGACTCTAATATCACTTGTTAGGATTAAGCGCTTACCACTACACCAAAAGCTATAGCTGATAGCACAACTTTGTTTTCTTAAAAATCGCCTTCACATTTTCGAGAACAAGGTGTTGGACTTGGCCCCGTACCCGTGACTTACTTTGTTTTCTTAAAAATCGCCTTCACATTTTCGAGAACAAGGTGTTGGACTTGGCCCCGTACCCGTGACTTGACTCTGAGCACTTACATTACACCCAAAAGCTATAGCTGATAGCACAACTCTATTTCCTTATAGATCGTCATCACTTTTTTTTAGAGAGAAAGGGTATTGGACTTACTTGGCCCTTCACCGGCATCCACCCAACAATCCCCTATATATATATATATATATATATATATATATATATATATATATATATATATAGGATTGCGTTCACACGAGGACAGTAATATATAGAGGACTGTGCAGACAGATAATGGGTCACGACAAATTAGTATCATGCACACAATTTAATACACAATGGCACACAACACGACTACATTTGGCCACACACTGCATACAGACTAATGACACCCGACTACACTATATATATATATATATATATATATATATATATATATATATATATATATATATATATATATATATATATATATATATATATATATATATATATATATATATGCTTGATGCTAGTTCAGAATAGTAAAAACAAGGGCATAATTCTGAAGGTGAATTCCAAGAATCATGAAAAATCAAACAAACAAAATCCCAATGCAGACAAACTATGGAACTAACATGGAATTTTGGGAAAAAGAAAGAAGAATATTTATTTTCCGAGGGGAGGGGTGTTCTTACTTTGACTGAAATGGTTCCAGCAAGGGCATCAAGATCCTCAAGCAACTTCCCAATTCTAACCTCATTCCCAGGATCCCTATACTGCTCTCTCAAAATATAATCAGTGGAGAAGTTATAAAGAATGGTAGTTCTGCTCTGGGACGGCGTCTTGGTGAGCAATTCACTCTGAGGCGGTGCATCCAGCGGCGGATCAAGAAGCCTTTCAAAAATCT